CTTGATAACACTTAACAAAAATTACATTAATTCTATGATAAAGAAACAAACAGTCATAGAGATAGTCATTTGCTCAAAGACATAGCCCCAGATGTCTATGTTTCCAAAGTTGGTCCTATTAATCACTGTGATGTTGCTCTCACGTGCATATGAGGTTACTGAAAATACCATGGGTTAGGTCAGGTGCACCTTAGTCCTCAAGCTGACATCTTTGCTCTTCAACACTTTAAAAAGGTCTTGTGCAGCAGATTTGCTTAATGCAATACGTCGTTTGATCTCTTGACTGCTGTGTCCGTGAGGGTTGATAGTTGTATACACATATATACACCCCACTCGTCCTGCTTTACCCATTCAGCTTATGTCTCAATCCATGTATCTGTTCACGGAACAGTTTGTTCAAGGTTGTGTGTCTATCAGTTTATCTGTCCCCGTTAGTCCATGCATACCTCCCTATGTCTTCACCTCTCTTCATCATTCCTCTGCCACCCTCCCTCTTGTTATATATTGTCCTCCCCGTTACCCGAGCTAACGTGTCTAGCCAGTGAATTACTCTCCTCTCCCTCCCACCTCTGGTAACCATCAAAGAATTGTTTTGTGTTTTTTTTTTTAGTTTGGAAACTTTGTCTTAATGTTGTAAACATTTTTTTTAAATAAAGAAATCAGAGTAGATAATGGAAACCGCTTATAATCTGTCCCTCAACAAACACCCCTCACCCCCTAAAAAGGGACGAAGATGACAGCCTGAGTCCTTAACCAGGTCCTACTCTTCACTCAATGTGTCCGTTGCCTCTTCTTTGCCCGGTGTCCTCATTCCCAAGTGTGGTAAGAGCTGGACTTGGGGGTCGCTGGGCAGAGGCCCCAAGAACACGGGAAGTCGAGAAACAGCCCTGCAGCGTCACTCGGGCAGCACACGGTTCCTCTTCATTGGTCTGCAGCGCATGCTCTCAGGTCAGCCTGAGCTCCCACCTGGGGCTCAGCCCACCTGTTAATTACTATTAACCACCTGGGTAATTGGCAAACGCTGATAGTCCCACAAAGAGCCCTGGTGGTGCTGTAGGGTAAACACTGGACTGCTAACCGCAAGGTCGGCAGATCAAACTCATCAGCTACTCCTCGGGACAAACCTAATAAGGCTGTCTACTCCCTTAAAGATTTATCATCTCGGAAACCCTACGAGGGCTTGCTGTGAGTCAGACTCGACATGATAACAGTGGGACTTGGGGGCAGTAGGGAAGCCCACCTTGAGGTGGCGAAGTTAGTTACGGTGCTCAGCGCCCTCCAGTGGCCTAAGTCCCACTGTGGTGCTTGGCTGTGGAGGAGCAGAAACTGCCCTGAGAGCTGTTACTGCCTATGGGAGACCGTTCCTTAACCCCTGAAATGCCAATCCTACAACACCCGCATAGCCTGCAAGCCCTCCCAGAATCCTCAGGGTCCTGGGTGTGAACCTGTGGATCCAGTGACTGAGATAGCAGAGGGGCCCACACTTGCCTTCAGTATGCCCCACTTTGAGGTCACCTCTCTGCCTTGGGTCAGGTGGGAGTAGACGTGTCACCGGTCTCCCAACAACTCGTCTTGGGGTTTCCTGTTTCAGTGCAGCTGCTCCTGGACCACGGGGCTGATCCCAACCAGCGAGATGGGCTGGGGAACACGCCTTTGCACCTGGGTAAGTGTCTGGGAGAGCCCGGCCCTCAGCCTTTCCCTTTGGACAGCAGCTGATGGTACTGAGGGCGGTACTGAGGGGGAGCTGAGTCAGCTCTGCAGGAGGTGTGACGTGCTGAGACCCGAGCTGGGTCCTGCCCTGCCGCTGAGACTCCCGGGACTGACCCTTCTCCCTGGCTCAGTTTCCCCAGCAGTGCAGGGAGGGAGTTGGACTCGATGCTTGCCGAGTCCTGCTGAACTGTTGCATCGGTGATACCGTTTTGGGAGGTGTAGCCCTGGCACAGGGGTATGTGGGCATCCAGGCCCAGCCCCAGTGCGTCCTGGGCCTCAGCTCCTATTCTTCCTCTTCAGCGGCCTGCACCAACCACGTCCCTGTCATCACTACCCTGCTACGAGGAGGTAAGTGGCCCCTTCCCCTTCCCCCTCCTCTCTCCCCACCCCCTGCCATCATGCTCACTTCTGCCTGTACCCACAGGTGCCCGTGTGGATGCCCTGGACCGAGCTGGCCGCACTCCCCTGCACCTGGCCAAGTCTAAGCTGAACATCCTACAGGAGGGTCACTCCCGGTGCTTAGAGGCTGTGCGGCTGGAGGTGAAGCAGGTGAGCATCAAACAAGCAGAGCACTGGACAGGCGCTGCCCCGAGCCGGTGGGTGCGTGCAGCTTGGCTGGTGTTGGTGCCTGCTCCCGCTTGCCTCCTGGCAGCAGCCTGCGACCTCGCTGGGCCTTCTCTCTTCCAGATCATCCAGATGCTGAGGGAGTACCTGGGGCGCCTGGGACGGCACGAGCAGCGGGAGCGCTTGGACGATCTCTGCACCCGCCTCCAGATGACCAGCACCAAAGAGCAGGTGGGTCCTGGCTGCAGAGCCAGAGCCAGGCCACACACACGTCTCACACACACACACACACACACACACACACACACACAGGCTGTGCTGGAGCATGGCAGCCACTTCCTCAAAGCCGCTGCGCCTCTCCTACCTGTGACCTTTCTCTGGGGCAGCCAGAGGCCACTGGTGTAAAGGATGAAGCCTTGGGCAACTGCTGTGTAGTGGGCGGGAAGGACAGCTACCACGTCATGTGGTGGTGGGGAGGAGAGCTGAGGGCCCAGCACTCAGTAACTGAGCCTTGGGTTTGTCCGGCAGGTGGACGAGGTGACCGACCTCCTGGCCAGCTTCACCTCCCTCAGCTTGCAGATGCAGAACATAGAAAAGAGGTAGCAAGAGAGAGACTCCTCCCTGCCGCCCAGCCGCTCGCTCGTTACACAGCAGAGGCCCTGTGTCTGGACTTTGGAGCACCCTCACCTCCAGTGCTGGGGGGCCAGGACCCCAGAGCCACTCTCACCAGCCTCCATCTTCTGTGGGGGCTGGGGCCACGGCGCCCGGTGTCTTCCTCCAGCTCCTGCAGGCCGGGCCAGCTTTGGCAGCTGCCGTCTCCTCTGGCTGCCACACACTGTCCTGTCAGATCTCGCTTTCCCATGACCAGTGGGCCCTCAGTAGGCCCCAGACTCTTCTCTGCCTCCCTTCTCCACCTTGGGCTTGTTCCGTCGGTGGTGTAGGTACTTGGGACGAGCACCCCCAGCCCAGGAAGCTGCACGTAGATTTGTCATCTGACATTCACATAGACAAACAGGAGCTGCCCTGGCTGGCTGGTGAGGATTAGTTAAGGCCAGACCTTAAAATAACAAGGTTAGGAAGGAGTCCCCTTACCCTGAACCTGAAGTGGGAAGCCCTTGATCTTTGAGAATCAGATGTACCCCTCAGAAGTATTTGTATTCTAATCCCGAGAACCCGTAAATATTACTTTATATGTTAAAAGGGACTTTGCAGATGTGATTAATGGTCTCATGAGGAGAATGTGGTGGTGGTGGTGGTGTGCCGTGGAGTCGGTGCCGACTCATAGTGCCCCTGTGTAGGGTTTCCTAGGCTACAGATCTCTATGGGAGCAGAAAGCCTCATCTTTCTCCCACGGAACAGCTGGTAGATTCGCACTGCTGACCTTGAGATTAGCAGCCCAATTCACCACTACACTCCCAGAGCTCCTTCATGAAGGGAGTGGTCCTGGATTAGCCAGCTGGGCCCAATGTCACCAGAATCTTTACAGGGGAGGCAGGAGGTCAGGGAGGGAGTAGATGTGAGGATGGAAGTCAGGGGCTGGCTGGAGTGATGCAAGGAAGGAGCCAAGGAATGTCGGCACCTCCAGACACTAGACAAGGCATGGAGATGGGCTCTCCCCTCGGAGACCTGAGGGAGCCTGCCCAGTGAAGCTGGCTTCAGTTCCTGAGCTCCAGAATTGTTAAGAGAATAAACTGTTGTTTTAAGCCATTCAGTTTCTGCTCCTTTGTTACAGCAGCAACAGGAAACTAAACACCATAAGGAACCAAGAGTCACGGCACAGGTTGGAGGTTTTCAGCCCAGGTTTGCAGAGTACATTCTACTCCCGCCCCCAGGAGCACACACTTCTTTGGCTGTGGGTCAGGGAGAAGGAAGTGTCTCCTGATGGCAGGGCTCTGCACCAGGGCATTTGACTACAAGGCCGAGACTGGCTTTCCAGGTGATAATTCCCTACCTGTTGGTGATTGTCCACTTTTACATTCTCAGAGCTCTAGCTCTGCCCCACTTCCCCTCTCAACCAATGGGAATCCCTGACTGCTCTTCAGAGAAAGGGAGCTTGTCCCCCAAATCCCAGCTTGGATCTGTATTGAACTGGTAGAAACCAGCTCCCCAGACCCTGAAGAAAAAAGGGTCACTGTGGCTATGAGGCATAGACACAGCCTGGGGGCTGCTGCCAGGACCCCAGTTCAAGAGGCAGAAGGCCCTGCCAGGTTGTGGGTTTGGGGAGGGGAAGGGCAAAGGAAGCAAGGGGTTCACGGTGGCTGAGCTGCTACTGGTTTGAGTGGGGGGGCATGGGATGGCTTTTCCCTTTAGCATAGTGGTTACCTGGTGTGGCGCTGTGGGTTAATGCGCCAGACTGCAAAACCGTTTGAACTGCAAGGTCAGCAGTTCAAGCTCACCAGCTGCTCCTTGGAAACCCTATACAGGGTCACTATGGGTCAGAATTGACTTGACAGCACTTACTTAACCACTGCTAATCTCACAGTCAGCAGTTTGAAACTACCAGCTGCTGTGCGGGAGAAAGATGAGGCTTTCTGCTCCCGTAAAGATTTACAGCCTTGGAAACCCTGTACAGGGCCACTATGAGTCGGAACCGACTCCAAGGCACATCACGACAACACTTCTGAACCTCCTTCCAAACAAGTCTGCCCACCTCAGGGCTGGGTTCCAAGCATAGGGCTGGGACTCGGCAGGAAGGAGGGGTAGGGACAGGAGAGAGTGGGCTTCGGACTAGGGTGGGCCCCTTGTTTTGGCTGAGTACCTTAAGAGTTGAGGCAAGGTTGCTGAACCTCACTCAGGTCTAAGGGGTTTAATTATTTGGCCTTTAAATAAGAACAGGAGTCCTGGTGTGTTAAGCAAGGTCTGCAGTTTATATTTACCAGCTGCTCCTTGGCAACCCTATATAGGGTCGCTATGAGTCGGAACCGACTTACAGCTCTTAACAGCAACAGATAAGAGCAGGAGTCTGGTATGGTACTGTAGGATAAGCACTGGGCTACAAAATCAGTTTGAACTACAAGGTCAGTGGTTCAAATTCCCCAGCCACTCCTCGGAAACCCTGTAGAGGGTCGCTATGAGTGCCAACCGACTCGAGGATACTTAACAACAATAAATATGAGCAGACCTGGGTGCTGCAAACAGGTTAATGCCCTTGGCTGGGAGTCCACCCAGAGGCATCTGGGAAGAAAGACCATCTGTTTCCATAAACTCAGCTGTTGAAAACACTGTGTGAGAAATACATTCTCAAGATGGTCCATCTTCAGGAATAAGGGAGTGGTCCAGGAAATTGCTAGACCAGACATAAATTGTTGATTCACATAGCAACAGTGGCCTATGCATCTGGGGTATGTGAGCGGGATGAATTGGGAGAGGGGGAAAGGACATGTTCTACTACAACTAGGAACTTTAAACAAGAATGCTGCCATCCAGGGAAAGTAGAAGATTACTTAAAGTCCCCAGTACTCAGTCATGAGGAACTGGGAAGGACTTTCCTGACCTAGGAGAAGAAAAGGCTTTGCAAAGGGGCTCAGGGGGCTTCCCTTGTCTTCTGGGTCTGACACCCGATTTTGCAAAATGGAATGAATAAGCCTCACTCTCGCTGAAATGAGTACATTAAGCCTTGGTTGGGGTAAGCACTCACGATAACTCATCTGTGACCTCATAACCAAGTGGGACCGAGGCAGTATCCTGGGTATGGACAACGTTTCTCACATACGGAACACAGTTCTATTCTGACACACATGGGGTTACCATGAGTCTATGGGAACAACAACCAAAGATAGGAAGCTATTGTTAACAATGCAGGATTTCACATGGGAAGAGAGATTCTGCAAGGGGGAAGGGTGTTAGGAATGAGTGCTTCAGAGCTTTGGGGAAAGACTGGTGGGGGCTAGTCATGGCAGCCTGGGGGGCTGACTGGGCAGTTTGAGGCTGTTACTCCCTCAGGAAAGCTTTATAGAGCCTAGGGGGAGGGGTGCAGTCTTTTGGGAAATTGTCCTGTGGTGTGTGCCTGACACAGTCTGATGTCTAACTCCTCACAAGTCTTCCCCCAAAGCATCCTCACTTGGGAAGCAGAGGTTGTAACCCCTACAGCATCCTCCACCCCACAGTGACCTGTCCACCCTACTCAGGGCTCCATCTGTCCATCTGGCAAGTGAAGGGTATTCTGTTGATTCCCTTCACGGCCACAGAGCAGCGAACAAAGAGCACTTACTCCATTTCCTGTCAAGATTTTTCCTGCAATCCCAAATCTGTCTGAAGAGTCAGGCACACAAAGTCAGCTCCAGCCGCTGGAGTGAGTCAGAAAGCCACAAGTGGGTCCCTCGCTGTCTGGGCTGGGCAGAGGGCAGAATGAACCAGGCAGAGGTAGCCTCGAGGGGCTTCCCGTTGCCGAGTTACTGAGAGAAAGTACAGACAGGGCGGGTGTGGTGGGGGCAGGGAGGAGAAGAGGACCTGTACAGTTCCCTTTCTGGGGTCCCTTTGCTTTATACCTCACCTTTCATTCACATTAAGAGACCCTTACTATTCATTTAAGGAGCTCTGGTAGCGTAGTGGTTATGAATCGGGCTGCTAACCTCAGGGTCAGCAGGTTGAAACTACCAGCTGTTCTACAAGAGAAAGATGAGGCTTTCTGCTCCTGTTAAGATTTACAGCCTCGGCAACCCTGTACAGGGTCGCTATGAGTCAGAGCCAACTCCATGGCACAACAACCACCCTAATCACTTGGTGATGAGAGGCCAGTGGTGAACAAACAGGTAGAAGGTCTTAAGACACTAAGAGAAAAGCATTCACAGATTCTCTCAAATTCTCTGGGCCCAAGCTCTGTTGTTGCTCTTTACAGGTGGGGAAGCTGAGGGTGACTAGGATCCCCCAGCCAGGCAGCAACACACACAGATGCCACCATACCTGATATGAAAGCATGCTTACAACCAGAGCGAGCGTACCCTATAAAGGAGGACGGTGGCCAGTGCTGGGCCCGTTATGTGCCAGCTGTCACTTTCTACAAGCCTTCTTAGTGAAGTGTTAGGTGGCCACGTTCATCACTGTCCCCACCAGACCACTCACCGGGATGCTGAGCCCAAGCCACGGCTGAGAAGTTAGGGAGTTAGACCGAGGCTGTAAATCTTTACGGAAACAGAAAGATAAGGCTTTCTCCTGTGAAACCACTGATAGTTTCAAACTGCTGACCGTGAGGTTAGCAGCCCAACTCGCTACCAGAGCTCCTTAAGCTAACGTTAGAAGGGGATCAATCTTATCAGCTCACTCGGATGGGGAGTCTGGTCCCAGACCCAGGCTCAATCTCGTGTTCTCTCATTCCTGCGTGCGCAGAGGGCAGCAGCTACCATAATACACCCACACAACCATCTGAGAAGCACTTGGCGGTTCTCATGCCCGGAGGGACACCGAGTGAATCTAGTCTCAGTGGATTGAGGGAGCTTTGATGGGGAGACAAGGACCCGCCTTAGAAAGCCCTCACAGGCTGTACTCAGCTGGCAGCAGATGGTGAGAAGCCCTGTGGGAGCCTCTGGAGAGAGCTTGGCACAGGACCTGCACAGACAATTCTCCAACCCTGCAGGAGTCTAGAGGGAAGACCCTGAGGCACAGAGACATATCACAGCTTCGATGGGCTAGAGGCAGAATTCACACCCAATACCGTGGTTCCAGAGTCAGTGCCTGAGCCCTGCACTGCAGTTCCCTTTGTAGTGACCACCACCATTCCTCCTGCTTCAATCTCATCCCTGACTCAAAGCCCAGGCCATTAAAATAAACTTGGCATCAAGCAGATGTCTCAATAAATCAGTCTAGTTCCTTTAAACCAGAAACGATCCAGCCCTGTTCAGTCCGGCCCTCTGGCTTCATGCCAGCTCAGATCCAGCCAGCAGCTCACCAAATGAGCCCAGCAACCAGCCTAAGCAGCCGATGTTCATTAATAGGAAATCTGGGGTGGTTAATTGGTGTTTATTTCCCTAGACACACACCTCTGAGTTGATAAATGATGCTGTTCCTGCCAAGCTCAGGCAGAGGGAAGAAGATTTAACTAATGTGACTATGCCAGGGCCCCCATCTCACCCGCGCTCCCCAGGCCTAAGTTTCAGCCCTGGTTATGGTCACTGTGTGAGGGGAAGTGAGCCTCCTTCTTTGTACATTCAAGTTCCTCCCAGTTCCCAACCTTCAACCATCCCTCCTTGCTTCATCTCCCACTGCTTTCCATAAAGATCACGAATCTGAAACCAGACAAACTTGATTTAAATCCCTGCTCTACTTTGGTTTGGTTCTGTGATCTTGGACAAGATCCTCAACCTCTCTGAGCCTCAGGTTTCTCCATCTTCAAACTCTAAAGCAGACCAAACACACATTCCAGGGCCAAGCACATCATTCCCTGGGGACACTTCTCCCTGGTGTCCCAGCCTTTTCATCCTCAACCTCAATGTCTTCTCCCCAAACATCACGCAATGGTCCACTGCCAATACCAGCCAGACAAACCAGAAATCGAGCGTGTCATCTGGACCCCTAAAGTTCGATCACCTGTGTAAGTGGTTGTCCCATCTGCCCACACCTGCCATCCATTGCCAATGTCTTGCCTGTCTCTGACTTCTAACACGAGTCTCCTGCTATCCCTCCCCGTGCAGCCTGCCTTGGAGAGGTTTTAGAAGAGCAAAAATGGTCACATCTCTTTTGTGTGAAACCTCTCAGTAGCTCCCAGAGCATAGTCTAAGTTTCCGACATGATTTTCCGGGTCCTTCAGGACTGGCTCCCCACCTCCGCTGCCCTGTTTCCTGGTGGTCTTTCCTGTGCTTTGTGCCAGACTCCAGGCTGTGCCCCTTCATTTCCATCTCTTTCTTCCTAACCTGTCCTGATTCAGACTTGGTTCAGGAAGTTTTTTCTCCCCAAGCTGAGTCAGGGGCTCTCCTCTGGGCTCCCACAATCCCCTGGGCTTCTAGATCTTTCTTTCCTGCAGAAATGTGTGGTGTTCACACATGAATGCAGCAGGGGCATCCTTAAGAAACTTGCATAAACAGGATGGGTGGTCCTGGCTCCATCCTAGACCATGCTGGGGGTGCTCAGGTCAGGTGGGTTCTCCTGGGCATTGAGGGGCAGCAGCTGGGGCTCATTCAGCATCTGCTCTAGCCCCTGCTGCCTAACTCTCTGGCTCTGCTGGACACCCGGCTCACCTCACTAAAGTAATGAGGACCAACTGCTCCTTTGAGCCTTCCATTAGCCCTCCCACCCCCAAAGAGTCCCAGGAGTCTTCCTGCCAAGGCCATACCCAGCAGCAGCTGGTAAAACCAATGCTAGTCCCCAGTGCTAGTCCAGGCCTTGGTTGACTTGCCTCACTAGGACCTATGGAGCAGCTCCTGGACTGGGCTCTTGGCTTTCAGCCTGGCCCCTGGAACCCAACCTCTCCAAGTAGCCCAGGGGCCCCTCCCCTCCTGGAAACCTTCAGTGACATCACCGTCTGCCTGAAGGTCCCCACTGCTAGCTGCTATAGGATGAAATTCCCATAGTTCACTATCACACTCACCTTTGTGGCCTCCCTCAGCCCCAACTCCACCCACTTACTGTGCTTCCACCTGGCATGCCCCTCCCAACCTTTTCCCAGAACAATACACATTCAAGGTCACCTCCTCTGGGTCTCCTGCTAAGATTGCCCTAGGAAGACAGGGCTTCCTCCTCTACACCACATGTTCTTCTGTTAGGGTCCTATCACAGGGCGTCTGGGTGTCTGTCTCTCCAGATGGACTGGGTGGGAGTTCCCGAAAGGTAGATAACAGTTTCGTCAGCCATCTTTGTCTTCTCCTCAGAGCATCCATCAGTGCAGGCGCTCAAATGTTTGGGGGATAAAGGAAAGAAGGAAGTGGGGGGTCATATCTTCCCTTCTCTGGTACCTCTGTCCTCATGGAGCAGGAAGTGGCTGCTGGATGCCTGTCTCCTGCTTCTGAGATGGTGACACCCTCCACCAGTAGTGGTCCCAGTGTACCATGAAAGCTTCAGAGCTGCATCCAGGGCTCAGCCAGTAAAGCAGAGTCTGACGGTCCCGGGCCACTCTGGGGGTGCTTCTAGTACTCAACCTCCTCCGTTGGGCCTGGGATTTCAGGCAGGTTCAAATTCTGGCTCTTCCATTTCCCCGTGGGATGACCTTGTCTCCTGCCCCACCCTGAAAGGAGCTGTTCATGGTCACCCACAGCAGTTTAGCTGGGTGGCTGCATCCCAAATTAGCCACCTCCCTCAGACCTGGTGTGGAATCCCAGCTCTGCCAGGTATATACCACTTAACTCTAGTCAGGTGATCTCCCTTCCTGAGCCTCAGTTTTCTTTTCTAGAAATGGGGATGCTATCTTGCCTGATACAGATAAGCCAGTGGAGGCATGAGGGAGGGCTGCAGGGAGGTAGAGGCCACTATGGGTGCTGAGGAAATAGGTAGCATTCAAACCCCACTGCTCTTCAGGAAACGGTTCCACTTTGGCAGGGCTGGGATATGTTGGGGAATTTGGGGCAGAGATATAACAGAGTACTGGACCAGATGTCAGAAAGCTTAAGTTCAGGCCTTGATCTGTGTGTGTCCTTGAAGCAGGGGGTCCCCATCTGTGTCTCAGCTTCTGGGCCAGGAGCAGGTAGCAGGCAGTGAAAAAGGACTAGTCAGGCCTCCCCAGGGTGCCCAGGCTTGCTCACATCCCAGAGGGGCTCAGGGGAGTCATGGAAGTTGTAGGGTCTCAGGCCTCAACTCAGAGCTAATAAACATTGATGTGTGGTAAGGGAGGAAGGGATGGGGCTGGCTCTGAAACTGACACTGACTTATTGGTTAATTAGTGGGTTTCCACAGTCACAGACTTCCCCAGCCGTGTGAGGGATGGGAAAGGAGGGGCTATAGAGTAGTGGGACCCCTGGGAGGCCAGCTGGGGTTCCAATGTGTTTCTGATCTCGTGAGAACCAGGAGCATCAAATGGCTAAAAGAACAGCCCAAGACGCCTGAACAAGGAATGGGCCATCTGGGCACCAAAACAGAACTCTCCTCAGGAAAGGGACTGGGAGTCTCTGAGGATTCCAGGAGGCAGGGCATCCACTTGGGTGTGAGGAACTGCGGATTTGGTCAACAGGGCTGATGAGGAATCAGGATGAACCAAGATAAACTATAGAAATTTTAACTGGGAGGAGGGGCAGTGAGTAGAAAAGTTAGATAGCTTTGAATCCAACCTCTGCCACATGCTGGCTGTGTGACTTGGAGCAAAGCACTGAACATCTCTGATCTTTGATGCCACATCGGTTATAGTGTGCTATGCAGTAAACTTTTCAGAAGCAGATGGCCAGGCCGTTCTCCTGTGGCGCCTCTGGGTGGATTTGAACCCTCAACCTTCCAATAGGCAGCAGTGAGTTTAACCATTGCACCAACAAGTCTACATCTATAAAGTGGGGCTACCTGCTTTGCAAAGCTGTCTTGATTATTAGAATAAAGAACATCACTCAGTGTGAGTCCGAGAATCTCATAAGAGTCCGAGAGTCTCATAGAGAGATGCTATGAGACTCTGAGAGTCACAGCGGTTACCAAATAGGAGGGAGCAGTCTCATCTTTCTCCTGATCAGTGGTTAGCGGGTTTGAACGTGTGATTAACAGCCCAACAGTTAACCCACTAAGCCACAAGAGATCCTGGTGAGATACATTGCTGTTAAGTGCCTTCGATGCAGACCCATAGTGACCCCGTATAGGGTTTCCAAGGAGCAGCTGGTGAGCTTGAACTGCTGACCTTTTAGTTCAAACCGACCTTGCAGTCCAGCGCATTAACCCACAGTGCCATGCGAGGACTCCTTTGTTGTTAAGTGCTGTCGAGTCGATTAGGACCCATAGCGACCCTGTATAGGGTTTCCAAGAAGCTGGTGAGCTTGAACCGCCGACCTTGCATAGTAAGGGCCTAATAAATGTTTGCTCTACTAACTGCTATTAAACCACCTAGAGCTCTGGTAGTATAGCAGTTACGAATTGGGCTGCTAACCTCAAGGTCAGCAGTTCGAAACGACCTGTTCCACTGTTCTGCGGAAGAAAGATGAGGCTTTCTGCTCCCGTAAAGATTTACAGCCTCGGCAAACCCTGCACAGGGTCGCTATGAGTCGCAACCACCTCGGTGGCACATAACCACCACCACCACCAGGGCAGTTCTAAGAACAGAGGGGCTTGGCACTGGGAAGCTGGGGAAGCAAAACTTAAATGGTGTTGCAAATTTGGGGTTCGGCTAAGGTGAGTCTGGGGGCTGCCCAGCTATCTTAGAGCCACCGCTCAGCTATTTACTGCACATCTTGGCAGTACTCCTGGCCTTGGCCCCATCCCCCTAGCCTGGTGGGAAGAAGGCGGATTGACAGACAGACATCCAGCAGAGTCTCGGGAGCCGCGTTTATTCCTGTGCCTGCGTTGGTCCTGCTTTTCCGCGGCGCGCGGACTCCTTTCCGGAGCCCCCGCGCCAGTCCGCTGGCAGCCTCCCGCGAGGCCGGGTGTCCCCAGGGTAGCCGACAGGACCCGAGGAGACCGGACAGACACAGCGAAGAGCGCGGCGGGCGCGCCGGTGGCGGCGGGCGCCGCAGGGCCACAGGCGGCGGAAGCGCGAGCGGAAGTAGCGCGAGGCGAGCGCGTAGACGAGAGGGTTGAGGCAGGAGTTTGCATAGGCCAGGCAGTGCGAGGCCAGTCGGCAGGCGTACGTGGCCGGGTTGAAAGCAAAGCGGCCGAACCAGAAGCAGAGAATGAGCACGTGGTGAGGGCCCCAGCAGAGTGCGTAGAGCGCGGCCACCGCTAGCATGGCGCGCCCCGCACGGCCCGTAACCCGTCGCCTCGCCTCGGCCGCCGCCGCCCCCGCCGGCCCCACGGCCGCCCACAGGAAGCGCAGCGTTCGGCCGTAGGTCAGACTCACCACGGCCACGGGCAGTAGGTAGCCGGCGGCGAAGGTGGCCACGTCGAGGGCGCGCCGACGCGCGTCCTCCCAGGCGGGCACACAGAGCTCGAGCGCGCCGTAACGCACAGTGCCGTAGTAGCTGAGATAGGGCGCCGAGAAGAGCGCCGCCAGCAGCCAGACCAGGCCTACGGCGGCGCGGGCGTTGCGTGGCGTGCGCAGGGCCCGCGAGCGCAGTGGGTGCCGCACGGCCAGGTACCTGGAGGCGGAGTCCGGGTTAGTGCACGGGCAGCTGGGCCCCAACCATGCCCCACCCCTCATGCTGCCGCAGTGCAAGCGGGGGGAGGGGCAGGGGGACACAGGACCTGAGGTCCGAAGTGCCTGGTCTTCCTTGTCTGAAAAATGGGGGTGACCGCACTCCCCACTTCCCGGGAGGTGTTTAGGTTGTAGCCAAACAAGCAACGTGCTTCCAGAAGCGCCTGGCACTTCGGAGGGGCCCAGTTCTTATTAGATGTTATTTAAGATGATGATTTTACATGCAAATACTCCCTGGTGGTGCAACGGCTAAGCGCTCATTTTGATGGGTGGTTGGTACCTACTCGGTGGCTCGGATGGAGAAAGACCAGTAGATCTGTTCTGGTAAAGATGACAGCTTAGGAACCCCTCTGGGGCAGTTCTACTCTAGCACACGGAGTCGCTAAGAGTTCAAAATCATGGACACATCGATTCCACAGTTCCCAACAATTAACGTCAGTGAGGGAATGACCTTGGATTTGATCCCAAGCCATGGAAGCAGGTGTGACCATAATAAAGTATCTGATGAATGTGATGTGATCGTGTCTTCCTTTTGCCAGTCATTTCACATTTATAGAACATCTATGTGCCCAGAGTTGTAGGATAAACACTGGACTGCTGATTGCAAGTTCAGTGGCTCAAACACACCAGCTGTTCTTTGGAAACCCTATACAGGTTGCTATGAGTTAGGACCGACTCAATGGCACTTAACAACAATACAACTATGTGCCAGGCCCTGTGCTAACATGTGGGACACAGATGTTCTGGGGAAGACTTGGGGTTGGGGGAGGGCAGGATGGTCACCTCAAGCATGCCTTAAAGGTGCCCAGGAACAAGATGGTGGAGGCCAGAGAGCTGTTCTTTTCCTCCCACCTCCTCTTTTTGGCTCCCAATGAGCACTACCCGGCACACCTGTCAACTGAGACTGCGGCCAGGGTGAAGCTGCTGGCATACATGGTGAGGTAGATGAGTAGGTGCACAGCCTTACAGACAAGGGCCCCAAAGAGCCAGTTGTCCAGCGTGTAGATGGCAGCCTGGAATGGTACGCAGCATAGAATGAAGCATAGGTCGGCCACAGCCAGGTTAAGGATGAACAGGTCTGTGGTGCTGCCAGGATCCTGCCAAGCTCCCGGGCCAGGCTGTAGCAACACAGCCAGGACCAGTCCATTGCCCACTGTACCCAGCAGAAAGATGAGGGCGAAGACTACAGGCACTGCCACGGCCCCCACACTCCCTGCACTGTCCAACGAAATGTTCTGGGCATCGGCCATCTTCTCATCAGATGGGTACCTGGGGAAGAGAAGCTGGGGTCTCAGCCTAGAGGTGTTTCCCAGCCTGGGCTTGGCCAGGTATTCTGGGCTGAAAATGCTGTGTGGCATGGGAGACCAAGCCAAAAGTCACCATGGAGACCCACTGTGTGAACCCGTCACAGGGTGTGTACGGAGTCCTTGGTTTCTGAGGACAGCTCTATAGCCCAGGTTTGGAGGGTTGGGTTAGGTATATAACAGATGAGCAGGTGACGACATGGGGTGGGCAGCCTCAACCCCAGGAGCTGGCATATATTCCTGACTTTTCAGTGAGGATCTGAAGCCCACGGAGACACTCTTGGACATAGGTTCAGGACCTTCACTAGCTATGAGCTATATCCTCAGCAAAGCACCAGTGACACCCCAGTGTTTTCTGAGACCCCCACAATGGCTCAGGTGGGAGAACCTGAGAGCTCACTGTCCCCTTTCTGCCCATGAGGAAACTGAAACTCAGAGAAGGGATGTGAGAGGCCAAGGTCACCCTTTGAGTGGCAGGTCTGAGGCTGCCACCATGGTATCCCCAGCGTCCAGGCTGGAGCGCTGATCTGAGTTTGTAACAGACAACCTGCCTTGTGCATAAACACACTGCGTCCATCCCCTGCCCTGCTCCATCCCACATTAGCTCCTACCTGTGGATCCTCCTATGTGTCATGTCTGGGACCTCCAGAGTGTTAGTATCAATTAGAGGAAAAGGGGAGGGGGCAGGCAGGAAGAAGGGAGACAGGTGACATTTACCCCACCCCTGCCCCAGCACCCAACATGCAGCATCCCCCAAACCCAAATGGACAACACCCACCTTGACCCTGGGCACTGGGCCCCTGCGTGATCCTGAGGGAAGCAGACAGGCTGGGCTCCTCGTGGCTTGGCAACCAGCCCTGGTACAAGGCTGCTTCCTACTTACTTAAGATCTCTCCTTTCCTCTGCTGAGCTGGACTTGGGCACCCCCTCCTCCTAAGCCCAATTTCCCCCGGGTGGGGTGGCGGGTGGCATGCTCTTCTGCCTGGCTCCTCTCAGCGTGCGCCACCGTTGCCTCTTTCTCTTTCTGTAGCAAGTAACCCATTGATCCTGCTCGCTGAGATTCGCTTTGTAGTTAACCCCTCCGTGCCCAGGGCCCAGCCCATTCTTGTCACTCCACCTCCTCCAACCCCATCCTGTCCCCGCCCTGCTTCAAGCAGGCTCCAATCCCACACTAAGATTCTTAGTCTTGGATGGGGTACCCTAGTCTGGAGGATCAGAATGTGAGTCCCCTTTCTGCAAGTAAGACCCCTCTCCCAGACCCTGAGCAACTCACAGACCCATTTGGCTCCCTAAACTTATTCTAGGGGCTCAATCTGGCTGGAGATCAGCACGTTTGTGTGCCCATCCAGTCTGACTTCAGTCTGAGGACAATGGGGAGCTAGTGAAGGTTCCAGAGCAGGGACAGGATGTTCCCATTTATTTTGTAAGATTACTGTGGCAGGTGATAGATAACAAGGATGCATGAGAAGGGGAGAAATTAATGACCCTGGAGAAGCCTCTTGTTCAGGCAAGAGCCAAAGAAGTTGATAAATTTTGGTGAAAGGCGTGTCATTCAGTCATGGGTTTCTGGCAGGGAGCCATTGGAAAAGGAATGGGTCCCAGGGCCAAATGATTCAGGAGACGCTAGCATCCGGGTGAGGGTGGGTGTGGGGGTAAGGTAGAGTGTGCTGGATTTAGCAATAAGAAGTCTGGGGATCCAGGCCCCATTATCTGGACAGGTGTAGGACAGCCTGTGGACAAGATGCTCACCAAGGATAGACTCAGAGAAGGGGGTAGATGGTGTGGGAATGGGTGTTCCTCGCAGCAGCATAGGACCCCCACCCCTAGCTCCCTGCTGCCTGGACCTTTTTAATATGGGGAAGGGTTCAGCTCTGAAATCCAAGTGGACTGGAGTAATAGCCCGTCTTCAGTGTATGCAATGAGAGCAGGAGAGGGTTGTAGGGTCGGTGGAGTCTTTCTTGAAGTGGAGGGATGGGGAGATTTCAAGGATAAATGGGAAAGGCACAAAAGCAGGGGTGCCAACGCTCGAACTACGATCCAAGAGAGAAAAGAAGCCCTCAGAATGAGGTCCTGGTAGGTCCCTGGGTTCTCAAGAGCACTCAGAGGGGGCTTCCCAGAGTCACCTCACACAGACAGCGAATGTTAGGAAGCAGGGAGCCAGTGAAGTGGAAAACTAAAGTACCAGACCTAGACTCTTAGACCCTACATTCCAGAACCATGAGAAGTGAATGAAGGAATTAGAATCACTGCATCCTATTACAACTCAAAGATTTTAGGATTCCAAGGTTACGATCTATTCAATTCCCAGACCTGAACCTGCAAAGGAGGCATTCCTGAACCTTCCCCTGCTTCCAGTCCCCGAGCCCCAAGGCCCCTCCTGGCACTGTTCAGGCTCTGGCTCCCTGGAACTAAGGGAAAATTGCTCCCAGTAACAGCAGCAAGCTGAGCTGCAGGGGAGGAGGGAGGGACAGAGGCGATTAGGGGCAGACAGGACACAGAACCCCAGATGCCCTCTCTACTTCCTAGCAGCGGCTCTGAGCCCCACACCAGAAATTGCAGTGATGTAACCACGAAGCAGTCTGCAGACCCTTGGCCCTGGAAGGATGGCCAATCCACTGTCTGTCTTCGGGCCCTGTGTGGTCTCACAGCCAGACTTGGGCACCGAGCACTGCCGCAAACTGGCCCTAGAGGTCATGGGGCCTCCGCTGCTCACCGGGATGTGCAATGTCAGTGGTGACTTCTGAAGGACTAGCTGCAGTGCTGGCTAGTGGACTTCGCTTCGTGCCAACTCATGTCAGCCTGAGTGAATGTGGACTCCGAATTATGCCCCCATCACCCTCTGGTTTATTGAGATCACCCAGTGTGATCTGCCCACCCACATAAACTACGCAGCTGGCCTGAACCTGCTGGCAGAGTCTTGGGCCAGCGTCAGGCTGTGTTTGGTGCTGTAGCGGCTGCCTTCAAATGCTCATTGTCACTGATGTGACTCTAGCTTCCCTAGGTTGCGTCCTCCTAGGACCCCAGGCTACGTTCCCCCAGATCCCAGAACCTGGCTTTAAGAACCAATAGGATTCTGCTGGACCCTGCTCAGAACTTTGGGACGTGGTGGGCTGAAGGATGTTGGGGAGATGTGAGCCTAGCTCCTGGTGTTTCATGTCTTTTCACCCCTTCTGTCTCAAGGCCATACCCCCCTCTGGCTGGAGATTCTTCAAGAGAGTTCACCCTCACCCCAGGGGATGAAGTCAGTAGGTTAAAGGAAGATTGGGCCTTTGCAAGCAACCAGTCTGATTGGCTTTGTCTGTGGGGTCACTTCAACAGCCAGCTGCTGCCCAAGACCTCGTATCTAGAGAGGGCAGGATGGGCCATGGTGGAGATCAGAGCCTGAGCTCCCTACGCCCCCTGGTGGCTAACCATCTGGACACTATGCCTTGGGATAAATGTGTTGGAAGGACCCCAGATCTCATAATATCCATTCTTCTTGGGTTAGTAGCATAGAGAGAATAATGAGACAGGCCCCATGGCCAAACTGGGCTCCTGGAATATTAGGGGCCTCTCCAGTGTTGATCCACATTTTGGGTCCCAGTTTCCTTTGAAGTTTTGAATCCTATCTCTCCTCTCAAACATGGGCTTACGCACCCAGCCCTTATCTGGGCAGTGGTGGGGCAGTTTGGGGATGGGGAACAGAGAACAAGGAGTTCACCAAGGCCTGACTGGGGATGGGGGGTAGGAGAAGGGGAGATGGTGGTGTGGGAAAGGCTGTCCCCTCCGTGCGGCAGAACAGCACAGTGCCCTGTCCGTTTCCCTGACACCTGGACACCATCCAATTATGGGGAGGGGCTCTGTACTGAGATCCACGCTGGTGTACAGCAACCCACCCCGAAGAGCTCGCAAACGCAGAAAGGATAAAGGGATGAACGTCTGCCAGCTGGTCTGCACAATTGTTTCCACTCAGGCCCGACCCTGGAACTCTGGTCTGAGGCTTAGATCCACAGGCCAGGATGATTAAAGGTTCCCCATGTAGCTGTGGAGGGAGGGGCCCTGGGCTCAGGGCAGCACCCCATGCAACCGCCCCACCTCCACAAAGGCCTGCACGCAGTGGTCGATGTCTTCCTCGCTGTGCACGGCTGAGATCTGGACCCGGATGCGGGCCTTGCCTTTGGGAACCACAGGGTAGCTGAACCCGATGACGAAGATGCCTGGAAGGAAAGAGTCACCCTGGGGCTCACCAGAGCCAGATGGGTTCAGCTCCCACTTTCCTGAGGACAAGGGCTCCCAGATGTGGGGACACTCCTGGCCAAGGGCTTTCAAGCTTGAATTCAGCCAATCTACGGGGCGGGGTGAGGCGGGGCAGGGGTAAGAGGTCTCTCTGGCTACGGTTTCCTTCCTCTCCTCTTAGGGCCCCTCCTGTCCTATTCTCTGTGCTCTCACTGGGCCATGTCCCTCTCACCTCTTTTTAGCATGTCATCTGCCATGCTAGAAGCCAGCCGAGCGTCACCCAACATCACAGGGCAGATGGGGTGATTGGTTCCCGAGATGGTAAAGCCAGCAGCCTCCATCTTACTTCGGAACCTGTGAGCGTGAGCCAGGTGTCAGGGGGAGCTGGAGTTCTGGAGGTGGGGGTGGGGGTGGGGAGATGCTTTCACACCTGCTCCTGGGAGACATGCAGCCCAAGAGCCGTGGCCAAGTCTGTAGAAGGGATAGACAGAGAGGTGGGGCCAGGTCCAATCCACCTGAGGAGCCAAGCAGAGGGACAAACAGGAGAGCACAAGAAGAAAGACATGGACATATGGAGAGAAATGCACAAGGGAGGGGCTGGAAGGTGGAGACAGCTACAGGCAAGCTGGCAGTCCAGGGCAGAGAGCATAGAGTCCCACACAAACTTATTGGGAGGTGGTGTGAGGCTGAACCTTTGAGTATGGAGTTAAGGATTCTGGCAGGCCCTGGCCACCCTCCACCCCAGCCTGCCCCATCCCTGCCAGGGGATGCACCGGTGGGTCTTAGCTGCCATAGACTGAACGATGGCATTGTTCTCCATGAGCAGATCCAGGGCCTTGGAGGCACAACCAACGACAGCAGGCGGCAGACTGTTGGAGAAGAGGTAGGGCCGGGCACGCTGCCGTAGCAGGGCCACCAGAGACCCAGGTCCTGTTGTGTAGCCCCCTGAGAACAGAGGTGGGGTGGTGAACAGGGGTCAAGAGACAGATGAAAAATCAAAGCCCCTCCTGAGTGCATAATCCACACTACCCTCCCCTTCTCTGCCAGCAGTCCCAGGTCTTCTCTCCTCCTTCCCAGTGAGCTTTGCATGTGGCAAGAACCCCAGGGACACAACTCTGCAGGTACCTGACGCTCCTCCCAGTGCCTTCCCCAGTGTGGAGTTGATGATGGTGACTTGGTCCCTCACACCCAGCAACTCATCCGTGCCTCTGCAAAAAAAAAGCCACCCCTGCTGCTACAGGCCACTTGAGCACCCAGGGACCATGGGTAGGGGTGGTGGTAGCCTCCTGGTTGCCTGCCCACCCACCCTCAGAAGCCCAACCCTGGGCCTCCGGTGGCATTTGCTCCCACCGTCCTGTGGGTCCTAGGAAACCAGTGGCGTGGCATTCGTCCACAAAGACCAGGGCGCCATATTGAGAGGCAAGCTGGCAGATCTCCCGCAGGGGCGCGATGTCACCGTCCATGGAGAAGGCCCCGTCAGTAGCCACCAGGCGCAACCGATGCTTCTGCAGGGGATACATGGGCGGGGGTGGGGGTGGGGCTGACACTTCAAGTGGGGACAATTCACCCTTCCTGTCGCACTGCTTTGGGTTCTTAAGGGCTTGCCTCACACAGTGCCCAGCATGGAAGTGGGAACATAGGACCACCATTTGGGACTGGAACACACACTCTCTCAGCTCTGACTCTCTGAGCCTCTTCCACTTGTCCAGGGCTAACTGGAGCCACATTTAATCCTGGGCAATGAGAACAGTTCCATTCTCCTGTGTAAGATACTAGAGGTGGGGTTAGGTCTAATCCATGTGCCCACCGCTTCCCTAGCCTATGTTAGACCCTTGCTGGCAATATTAAGGCAGAATATTGTTGTTAAGTGAGTCAGTTCTGATTCATAGCGACCCTGTATAAGGTTTCTAAGGAATGGCTGGCTGGTGGGTTTGAATCGCCAACCCTGCAGTCAGCAGTCCAATGCTTATCTTACAGTGCCACACCAGGGCTGCAAAGGCAGCATTGTGGTTGTTGTTAAGTGCCATCAAGTTGGTTCTGACTCATAGTAACCCTGTATAGGATTTCTAAGGAGCAGCTGGTGGGTTTGAACTGCCAACCTTGTGGTTTGTAGTCCTGTGCTAATCCTACAGCACCACACCAGGAATCCTAAAAGGAAGCATGTTGTTGTTATTGTTAAATGCCGCTGAGTCGGTTCCAACCCATAGCGACCCTGAACAGGGTTTCCAAGGCCTCATCTTTCTCCCGCGGAGCAGCTGGTAGTTTCGAACTGCTGACCTTGCAGTTCGCAGCACGATTCGTAACCACTACACTACCAGAGCTCATAGCATAATGGAAAAGCAAAGCTGTGGGGCAGAGGGACTTGGGTTCGAATGGTAGTTGCTTGAGCTTCCAGATTGTTTTGTCCATGAATGAGGGGTCGGGTAGTTGAGGCTACACCCTGGACCTCTGGGTCTCACCTACCTGGGCCTCTTGCAGTTTGGTCTCTAGGTCAGCCATGTCCAGGTGGCGGTAGCGGTATTTGTGGGCCTTGCACAGACGGATTCCGTCGATGATGGAGGCATGGTTCAGCTCATCAGATAGGACTGCGTCCTCTGGGCTTAGCAGGGCCTGGAGGGCATCGTGTGGGCAGAGCTGTCATCTAACTGCTCTGAGACTCTCCTCTCCCGAGTCAAAATTTCCCTGGTAACTGGAGCACCCCCTGCAATATCTGGGTCTCCAGAGCCCCAGCACTGTGCTGGACCAGGGACCTTGCTCTTGCAGCGTTAGTTTGGCAACGAGCAATAGCCCTGCTCCTCCCAGCTTCCAGCTGCCCCAAGTGCCCTGGAAGCAAGCCTAGTGCTCTCCCCACCTCTCACCCCCAGCACATACCTAGCCCAGCCTTGACCTCTGTAAGAAACAGGGATTGAGGCCCCAAAGCTTGGCACTGTCATCCTACCAGATTCTCCTGACTGCCCACTCCTCAAACTTTCCAGGGCCTAGCAGACCCCACCCACAGCCCCCACAAACCTCAAAGAGGCCAGCATTGGCATCAAAACAGCTGGGATAGAGGATAGCATCCTCCCGCTGATGGAAGTCAGCGATCTTGGCTTCCAGATTCTTGTGGATGCTCTGAGGAAAGTGAGTGAGACAGATGTTAATGCCACAGGTAGGGGTGGGGTCCTGGGAGACAGAGGCTTAGAGGGCTACACAGAGAACTCGTTCTGCAGCCTCAGCCTCCCTCTGCTTTATGCACAAGGGCTACCCTACAACCAGTGTAAACCTGACCCCAGGAGGAATTGGGATCAGACTAGGATGGCACCTAACAACAACAACAACAAGGTTTCTTTTCTGCTCCCCCACTTCATTTTGTAATGGAGGTCTAATGTGGGAACTCGAGGTAAAGGTGGGGAAAAATGATGTGTTTTTCCTGAGAGCAAACTGAGTGTCTTTTTGGGTTGCAATGGCAAAGAAGAGAACTACATAAGTAATTTTGGCCCATTTTAGGCCTCTTAATTCTTAGGTTTGAAAGCTGTTCAGTGTGGGAGTTGGGAGTTCTGCCTCTGACATTCATTGCACCTTTCTGAGAGGGCAGGTAGTGATAATCACAGTTAACTACTTATGGGCATAGACTCTGGAGTCAGGCCACCTGGCTCAAATCCCATGATAGGCTGTGTGCCTCTGGGCAAGTCACTGAACCTCTCTAGGCCTCACTCAGCTCTAAAATGAGAATAAGAAGAGCACTGACTTTATAAGATTAATGAGTAATCTGTAATGTACCAAAAACAGTACCTAGGCACATATCAAACAGCATGTAAGTTTCATGTCAATGACTATTTAAAAAAATAAAATAGGCCAACATTCATTGATTGAGCCCTACTGTCTGCTAGTTACTGCCCTAAGCACTTTCACATATGTTAAGGCTTTAATTTGTAACAAACCTATTAAGTGCTATTCTCTACAATGTTACCAACAAAGGGATTGAGGCAGAGAAGGTAAGAAACTTGTCCACAGTCGTAGAGCTAGGCATGGGCAGAGAAGGGAGCCAAGCTCAGCGGAAGAGTTCCAGAACCTTTGGTCCCAATGGCTGCCTTCTACCCTTTCTCTCATATAAGGGGCAATGTGTGATGAAAGCTATTCTCCAGGTGGGTAAATGGGTGATCACAGAGGTCACATTTCTTGCTCAAGGCCTCTCGAAACAGAGAACTAAGGCCAGCCTTCCTACCAGACAGCCCTGAGCGAATTAAACCAGCTAAACCAGCTCTGCTGATGGTGGGAATTGGACAGCTGGGGTCAGTAGCCAACCCAAGGGACAAAGCTCCCCATCTCTCTCTCTCTGTACCTGGGTCCCACAGATGAAGCGCACAGAGCTAAGGCCAGCTCCAAATTCCTTCAGGGCTTGCAGGCCTGCCTGGATTACCTCGGGGTGGCTGCTCAGGCCCAGGTAGTTGTTGGCACAGAAATTCAGGATTCCTGAGATGGAGGAGGAGAGGAGGCGGATAACAGAGTTCAAGGTGAGGAAGGGCCTGGAAAAATGTCAATACCAGGTCCTGAGGCTAGAGAGAAGAAATGGACCTACAACCACACTTGAGAATCAAAAACCACATAGTCCAATCTACCTGTTTGGGGCAAAGGTCTAGGAACCCAAAATCAAATAGCAAGAAACGAGGGTAGGGTAAAACCTCTCGCCATATATTGTACCTTGAAGTCTTAACTCTGGTTTTAAGGAAGCCAGCCCTAACTCACAGGCTTCTCTGCTCCAGAAGAACTACACCCATCCCGCATCTGGGCCTTGGTTTCTCATGGGAAAAGGAAGAGGACAGTTAATTTGCTCTCTGGTATAGTGACACATCCCCAAAGATGGCGCTTCTGACGTTGACCCTGACAGGACCTTGCATTAGAGAGTGAGCCTAAAGTGAACACAGGTGGCTGAGGAGTGAAAGAGTCAAACAGCCTAGGAGAGGCAGAGGCAGGCTGAGAACCTGGCTCTCTTCATTTCCCATCCTTTGACTCGCAGAGGAAGCTGGCGCAACAGATGAGGAAAACAGCGCCAAGAAGGATTCCATGCCAATTTGTTGCTAGCGGCCAGTTGATAATCAGCCCCCACTATTGCCTGATTCAGACGCCGGGCAGTGGCCATTGGTCCAACAGGTCATGGATGAGGAAGACCTGGTCTTGCGATTCTGCAGCAGACCTCAAGCCCCTTTCTCGCAGTGACTCTGTTCAAGTAGCTGGCCTTCCTGTTCCAGGATTCCCTAGATCATAGCGCAGCTCTACCCAGAGCTAGCTACGAGGAGGCGGCCGCTTCAATTGTAAAACAGGATCACCCATTGCTGCATTTGGAGATTTGCGGACTCCACGTGTGGCGATTATCAGAGGCCTTTACAAAGCAGCCTCTCCAGAAATGCGAGTTTTCTCACTGCCGCCTCCACACACCCTTCCTGAAAGCAGTTGATTGGAGCCAGCTGGGGCTGCCTATCTCACTGATGGGCCTTCACCCAGCCGCGTGCTCAAGGGCACAACACTTCTCTCTCTACCAAGAAAAATTGGTTCGACGGATGTGAAGGGGGCTAATGGGCACGTGGGCCGGTGAGGTTCCTCCCTACACAGTATCCAGAGCCTCCAATTCAGTGCAAGTCCTGAAGGGGCCTTGGAACGCCCGGCCAAGTTTGCCGACTTGAGGAAGGGGTGGTTACCTCCGGAGACGCCGTCCACATGGATATGTGGTCCCTGCCTGGACGTGATGACTCGCTCGCTTTTCCATGTACCGGCCCCGCGGATTCCTTCCAACTCCGCCTCTAGAACACATCGCAGCTGGGTCAGCGCTGACTGCGCGCGGCAGCCGCGGGGGGCGCCGGAGAAGGCAGCGCGCAGGACGTTACCAGCCCACATCGTGCCCACCGCCCCGTAAGAAGTCAGTCCGCCTGGTGCCGTGCGCACCGCGGCGCCAGCCCTGTCACGCGGCTGGGGGCCGGACCCTAGAAGCCAATCGGAGCGATAGGGGCTGTTTAAGCAGCAAGGGAGGCGGGCCCTGGGATTGGGCGGGCCCTGCGGAGGCTGAAAAGTGGATTGATGTGTAAATTGAGACTAGAGAGGTTTGTGTCAGGGACCAGAGAGAAGGGGCGTCTGGCTCACCAGCGAGTTTTCCCCTTTACTCCCAACCCCGTTCTCCGCCAATATCCTCTCTCGTAAGGAAAAGGAGTGCGGGATGCCCTCTGGACTCTAAAGGCTAGAGCCTAGAATTAGACTGAGGCACGTTCAGTACCATCCAGCCCAAGGTTTCCCTGGGTCTGTCTCGTCCGGGGCTCCCTTACCGTCCGTCTTCTCAGGTTCAAAGAGCCCCAGATATACCCCCACACACACATACTGTTCGTCCGTCCACTTAAACTGAGAAAGACTCCACACGCTCAGACTGTTTCCATTGCTAATTTTATTTTAAAGTCTTAATAATACAAAGACAGCAATTTCTTCCTGGCACAAATAACACTTATCCAGGGGGAAAAAAAAAAGGACAATCTTATTAAAAATTAGAAGAGAAAAAGAACTGTACATTTTTTTCTTATAGCTCCTGAATGTGAGATAAGTAACTAGCACTAGATATATTGTGTATATATACGAGAATTCCATTTTACATTTTTTGAAGTTCCCTCGTATATACATACCTATGAATACATACACACACAAATCTAACTCTGTAAAACTACTTAAATTCAAAATTGCAGTATGTCTGACTGTCCACTCCTCCCCGCCCACTGCCTCCCTCCCCTGTCTATAGCTACATATAAAAAGACTCCGAAGTAAAAAGAAATGGAGAAGTTCCCAAGTTTCTGATGGCAGGATTGGAGAGCTCTATCAATGCTTCCCCATCAAGCCACCTCAGACAGAAAGAAAAAAGAAAAAGGGGGGGGGGGATTCTTCTAGGATACAATGCATCAATTGTGTGGAAAAAACCCAGGTTTCAATGGGGCAGACTGAGGCACTTGGTTGACTGACTCCCCACCCTTCCCACAAAGTTTCCATTCCCTTTTTAAATGAGACTTTTCCAAAGCCTCCCCTCCCCAGCATCCCCCCACCCCCAGCTTCATGGAGAGTCAGAGTTAGCTGAGAAGACTCAGTGTGTCCTCTCAAGCCCTTCCCTAAACAACAGAGGCCAGAGAGCCAACTAAACAAGAGAAAGCTCACCTGCCTTAAAGATGCCCCCCCTCCAAGCTTGACAACCCCTGGACACCCTCATCTGCCCAGGACAAGCTGCCTCCCCATCCACCTTCGTGGCAAACAAACCCTCCAACAAAACACACCAGCCCACCAAAACCCCTAAACCCACAAGTAGCATAATGACAAGTTAACAAAACACAGTTAAGTACATTTTCATCATTCGATGGGATTTCTTGTTGCTGTCCTTGCAGAACTGGTTGAAGAAGAAAAAAAATCAATTCTTCCATATTTCTGAGGAGTCCAAGTCCTTTCTCTTATAAAGTCCCATAGAAAGGGGCAAAGGATTACAGATGAGGTTCAAGAGATGATAAAAAGTATGTACAGAAAATAGGAGACAGGGAGGAGTGTCCGCAGTTAAGGCCTCATATTCACTTCTTCTTGCCCGACTTCTTGGCACTGGGCTTGGGTTTGGGCTTCACCGATTTGGCCTTCTTGGGCTTGGATGCCTTCACTGGCTTGGCTTTGACAGTCTTGGGTTTTTTGGCTTTCTTGGGTGTGGCAACCGGCTTCTTCTTGGCCTTCTTGGCTGGGGTGGCTTTGGGCTTCTTACTTGGAGCTTTGGAAGCAGCCTTCTTGGGCTTGGCTGCCTTCTTTGGTGTGGCCACCTTCTTGACTTCCTTCTTGGTCTTCTTGAAGGCCACGGATCTTTTGGGCTCATCGCTCTTGGCCAGTCGGAAGGAGCCCGAGGCGCCCACTCCTTTGGTCTGCTTGAGGACACCAGTGGTGACCAGGCGCTTGATGGACAACTTTATCTGGGAGTCAGCATTCTCACCCACCTTGTAGTGGCTCTTGATATACTTCTGGATGGATTGGCGTGAGGAGCCAGACCGGTTCTTCTCAGCCTGGATGGCAGCCACGATCATATCTGAATATTTGGGGTGGTCTGTAGACTTCTTGGAGGCCTTAGCCCTCTTGGGCTTGGCCGCTGGGGCAGACGTGGAGTTCTCGGTCATGGTAATCCGCCGGGTCCTGAAGAAAGCGCCTTCAGTAGGACCAGCCCTCGTTGGAGGCTGAGGCAATCCTGGCTCGGGTTCTTGACAACCAGTCCTGGCTCGCAGGGATGCAGGCGCAGTCGCTTCTCCTTCCCGGCTCTGGTCGCGGGGAGGCTTGTTAGGCAGAGTCTTTGTAGCCCAGCCCCGCGGCTCTGTCTGTGGCTCTCAGCGCCTGACTCTGACTCTGCCTCCTGTGCCTCTCTTTTCCCAGCTCAGCGTCTGGCGCGCGAGCCGCGCATCCGGGTATTTAGCGGCGGCGGGCGGACCGCGGTGAGGACTGGGCTGCTGGCTGCCTAAGCCAGGCCCAGAATGGCGCCGCGCAGCCGCCATCTGTGTTTCTTCAACTGTGCAAATCCAACCTTTCTCCCATGCCCCAGTCTTCCTGCACCCCGCCACCGCCCGGGACCGCTGCCCAGGTCCCTGGGCTCCCCCGCAGGGTGTCCAGCCAGCCCAGCCGCCGCTCCCCGCGCCCGTCATGCACCCCAAACGGCGCTGAGAACTGCTGGCGCGCCAGCACATTTCCCCTTTGCGGGGGGCTGGTCCTATGAGGCTAGGGAGCCCTGGTGCGGGGACCCCCCAGAGCAAAGCCCTCTCCTGGGGCTAACAGGGGATCCCACTTCTGGATCGCTGCGGGGTTCCCTAGATGTATAGAGCGGCTGGAAAGCAGCCCCAACTAACACACGTGGTCCTGAGCCGTGTAGCTCCCAGCCTGGCCAAGACGGGACAGGGGGGAGGGGTCGCTCCCCGGGGTACCGATCACCTCTCTGGGGTCCTCCCGCCACCGGGCCCCCCACATCTCTAGCCCCCCTCCGTTCTTGGGGCCCCCAGCAAAGTTTCCCTGTAAGAGTTGGAAGGGCACTTTCAAACTTTATCCCTTCCCCCTCCTCTGTTATCTTTCCCCCAGTGCGCCCCCACACCTTGGGTGTCTAGGCTCTTACCTGAGCCCGAATCCCCAATTCTACCTGGTCCTCCTGAGGAATGGGGAAAGGCCTTCAGGGTCACTTCCTCTCCTCAAAGACCCCTCAAATCTCCCGCAAATCTTAAATTGGAAATTCATTTACATGCCTCCCTCAACCTGGGAGTGTCAGAGGCAGAACTTTTGGCCCCCAACCCCTGAGGCCCTGCCTGAGGGTCCAGCCCTTATCTCAAGGCCCTTTGAAGGAAGTGTGGGGGTGGGGTCCACAATGGCGTTATTATGCAGAAGATTTAAGATTGTCCTGGGGCCCCTGGGATCAGGAGAAGCCAGGAATATTTTATGGCCTTGGGGAACCCCCAAGGTGAGGGTTGTGTTCTTAGGGTTCTGATAAATTCTTGAAAGTTTACAAGTTGTTTAGAGAGCTATTGCCTGGACCACCACCATTTTGCTAGAAGCATGTGAAGTCTTTGTTAAGATGTATATGTCTTGTTTCATGCTGCTTAGCTGTATAGATGAGGCCGATTACCTCCCCAGGGTGGGCCACTGGCTGAAGGAAGTCTTGAGGTTCTGAGGGACTATAGGGGTCTAGAGGCCAAAGGAAGGGACTCTGGATTCCCCAGGATCCCTTGTCTACTGCTGATCATTTAACCACACATCAGTTCCTGCTTGGCATGGAATTGGGGTCTTGGGATATGCACTGAGTATGCCTCCCCGCCCCTCCCCCCCACTTAGTTCTTAAGTGCAGAAGTCCTAAATACTCTAAAAGTAAGGTGTCAGAGCTATATCTGGTCAGAATGTACACATGTCAGGGATGGTGGGGGTACTTTGGACAGACCCAATGGCAGACCGGGGAGAGATCTGAACAGGGATCGAATTGGGGGTTCACATGAGGGTGAATGGGTCATAACTGGCAGAGAGAGGTTCCCTGGACCCTGGACTCTCAGAGACCAGGGCAAATGAATGGGTTTACTCTAAGACCAAGGGATGGATTAACCTAAAGATTGAGAGAGGGGTGAGTGGGGGAGGGAGAAGGAGGCCTGTGACTCAGTATCTGATAGATACTTCTCCTAGAGCTTATCTTGTTGACTCAGGCGGAGTAGGGAAGCAGTGAGGCCAGGTTAGTTCAAAAGGTCAAGGTTCTTGTTTTGATGGTGTCAACTCTGAAGTTTTCAGATTTGAAAACACAATATTCTGGTGGATTTGTTTTGATTATTCCCAAACCAATTCTCTGGATTCCCATAAAAATCTGGATGGAGAAATTAGATTCTCAGCAGCTACTAAAATAGGCCACTGAGATGTGGTCCCACTCTGCACTCCCAGAAACGTGTTGCGCCACCGTTTCCCTAGGGTCTCAGAATAAGGATTGGATGAATCCCATGATACAATGAGAAAATAACTTTATTTGCAAAGCGCGTTACTTTACAAAGTGCCAGTCTCCATTTCTAGATCTTTGCCAAAGAGGCAGACAATGTGAACATTACCCCAATCACCCCCATTTAACCGTGGTGGCTAATGGAGATCGTAGGGACTTGCAAGGATGATTAGGGTGAGGTGGGCTATGAGTCCCAGCAACCCCAGCCTGTGTTTTATTTAGTAGCATCTCCGCACAACCACTGGAATTCTCTCCCGGAACTGAAGCCAGGAATGAAGGTTTGGGGGCTTTCTGCCTTTGGGCAACTCCTCCATTGTGGACCCCCATAACTATCTTCAAAGCACCAAGGCAAAAGGCTAGACCCCTTAGGCAGGGCCTTAGGGGTTGGGGGCAGCG